ACACACACACACACACACACACACATATGGACAGACACACACATATACAAACACACACACACACACACACCAAACCTACAAAACAAGGAAAGTGAATTAATGAAAGGCTTACATAAATGCCAGCCCTTATTCCTGTTCCTACTCATCAAGCCAGAGGCTTTCTCACTTGCTTCCCGTTGTTTCAGGGATGATACATTTTCAGACACTCTGAGCCAAAAAGCTGACAGTGAAGCCAGCAGCGGGCCAGTCACTGAAGACAAGTCTTCATCCAAGGACATGAACTCTCCAACTGACCGCCATTCCGACAGCTATTTAGCCAGGTAAGTGACATTTGGTCATCAGCTCCTAACCCCCCTTCTCCAGGGGCTCTGAGGAGCAATCGTACACTCAACCTTGAAGTATTACCCAGTATCATAAGATTTTTCTCTTTTCTTTTCTCCTTTGGCGAATGTCTAGGCAAAGAAAAAGAGGAGAGCCACCCCCTCCAGGAAGACGTCCTGGCAGGACCAGTGATGGCCATTGTCCCCTCCATCCCCCACATGCTCTTTCTAACTCCTCAATTGATCTGGGGTCCCCAAACCTAGCCAGTCACCCCAGGGGCCTGTTGCAAAATCGTGGCCTCAATAATGACAGCCCTGAGCGACGGCGGCGGCCGGGCCATGGCAGCCTGACCAACATCAGCCGCCATGACTCCCTCAAGAAGATTGACAGCCCTCCTATCAGGAGGTCTACGTCGTCAGGGCAATACACAGGCTTCAATGACCACAAGCCACTGGACCCAGAAACAATTGCTCAGGTATAGTGCTTTTAACTGGGTGTTGTATTTTAAGTGCTCAGGTATGGTGAAGGCAATATGAAAGATTTAAAATCTGTAAACTATATTTTCATATGGGAATAACAAGAGAAAACAAAGGCATTAGTCTCATAGACTAACGCTTGGCCATGAATCTCCTGATGATCCATTTGCTACTGGAAGATTGATTCTAGGTGTATTAGATTCATATTGATTACATAGATGTGTCAGAAACAGAGAAGCCAGGGCATTCATACGCATCAGAGGTGAATAGCCAGGAAAATATGGAATGAAGAAAAGCCTGCTAGTAGAGTCCAATAGTTCTAAAGCTTGCAAAACAGATAGTTATAACAGGACAGAAAGCCCAGAAACAAAATTAGTATAAAAACCAAAGATGACACTTTCAACTTGGCAACTGATAGATTAGGCAATAAATAATGTAATCAATAATGGTTAGTCATTTAAAGACCCATAATGCTGGGTCCTTTGTTCCTCTTGTCTTGCCTTCCCGGCACTGATTCCATAGAAGGGCTCTGTCTCTAATGACCAGAATCGAAAAAGCAGAGGTAAACAGTGTGGATGAGTTTGCTTGTTCTACCATTTGAGCCTCTGGTTCAGACACCATCTTTGTGTCTAGCAACAGAGAAAGTGAACAGATCTGTGCTGGACAGTGATCTCAGCTGTGCCCCAGCTCTCTCAAGCTTTAACACTAAGTGGATCAAGAGAGTGAATGAGAAGCAAAGAAGAAAATGGATTAGTCAAAGAAAAAAATGCCACCCAGGAATGTGCCCCATTCCCAAAACATTCTGCATGTCCTAGTGATAAATAATTCTGGTGGCAGCGCGGGCTATGTGAGTAGTTTAATGCATTTGTAAACAAGTAAATGAATTTGAGGTATAAAGCAGTTTCTCAGCCAAAATCAAAAAGACTTTGACCTTTGAGTTTTTCTATTTGGAGGGTTATGCAAGGCCCTTTGAGACCTTTTAGAACTAGTTCCATTTGATTGTAGCCAAAAGTCATGATTTGAGAAACCCTGAACGTCGCTGCTGTAATAAGGGGGTGAAATGTGATTTGTTTAGAGACAGATTTAGAAAAAGGTTAAAAGACATAAACTGTTTAACCCTTTGGCTGCCAGAACCAGGAAAGCCTTTTATTATAAATCATAAAGACGAAAGTCGACAGATAATCCAGCTTCTCTCCATTCTGTCCAGTGCAAATAATTGGTTCTCATAGTTGGATTTTATCCCTCTGTTTCACGGTAAAGTGAGTCACATACGAAGGCAATTGTCACCCTCACGAAATAGTTTCTAGCTCTGTCCTTTGTCTATCCATCTCCAGCCTTCAAAAATTCCCACGCAACCAAAGGGGCATGTCATAGTGATGTTCACACAAAACCGCACAAGTCTTGTTATTAGCAAGTCAGTGGGGTCCTTGAGTAGAGGAAGAGTGTGCTGTCCACAGATGTCATCGTACCATGATTGGCTTTATTCTTTATTGGATACTGTACTTTAATATCATGTCCTTGCTTATTCATGTAGCAAATGCTTATTGAGCACTGGCTGTGCCAGGATCTGTGAAAGGCTTTCTTTGTTTTGTTTCTTTGGTTTTTTGTTTGGGTTTGGTTTTTTGAGACAGGTTTTTTCTCTGTAGCTTTGGTGTCTGTCCTGGAGCTTGCTCTGTAGACCAGGTTGGCCTCAAATTCACAGAGATCCACCAGTTTCTGCCTCCCAAGTGTTGGGATTAAAGGCGAGTGCCACTCCTGGCAGGCTATGAAAGGCTTTCTTGAACAGGTGAGATGCCCCTGTTTTCTCAAGGTGCTGGTAATACAGCGGGGATCAAGGACAAGTGACACTGGGGGAGTCAGGATTGGGGTCCAGGCGCGTGGCAGTCCCGGGGATAAAGGGAAGAAAAGCATGGCTGTTTTTTCACACAGTTTTAAAAAAAACGTCATAAATTTTGCTATCTTAGCCATTTTTAAGTGTAGATATTTTGATAGAGACTATTGCTGTTGTCAAGAAGTGACTCTCCAGAACTTTCCACAAGTGGTACTTTCTCCTCATTAGACAACAGCCCCCAAGTCCTCCTTCCCACAGCACCTACTTCCATTCCTGTGGATCTGACTGTCCACAACCTTGTACGTGTAGACCATACAGTATTCACATTTCCATATAACACAAAGGTCCTCAAGGTACACACATACTGTTTCATTTGCCAAGATTCCTTTCAATTCTGAATAGCATTCCATTTTTTATGAATATATATTTAATATTGAATATATATTTAATTTTACCAGCATTATTATCTTAATGGCAAAAGCATGTAGTATCTTATCAGTTCTTCAATGAGGCACACTTTGCCCTTTGAAATTTGTACAATTCTCCCTTTCTATCTGAACTGGATTAATGATATATTTGATAACATAAGTGATAAATATAAGGAAATCAGTATTTTTTAAAAAAATAAAATGTATTCAGTTTTAATTGTTTTCTTTATCAATATAATGATGATACATATTTATAGGATGCAATATAATAATTTGGTATACACAAGTGTAGCTATCAAATCAGCATTACAGCTCCCCTAGATATTTCGCCTTTGTAAACCATGTGACTAATTATGAGCTGTAGTTGCCCTGCTGTGCTGTAGAGCAGTAGAACTACTTTGTATGAATGATAGTTGATAACTATGCAAAAATATAGAAAGGTTTTTATACCCTCATGTAGCCTTTCCATCAATTCAGCGGTTAAAAGGGGGCATTGGCATAGCGTTGCCCATTCCATTAGCTTCCATACTCTGCGAAAGACGCTCCTCCCGGAGCTGTGATTTTCCTCAAGGATGCACAGCCCTTGCTCAGTGTTGCAGTCGAAGGGCAGTTCACATAATGATAGCCCTAGAGAATTTTACCACCATGCAAAAAGCATTTCATGTTTCTATATTGTCGGCCTAAATGACAATCAGAGACATTCTTCAGAGAACAGAGGTGTTTGTTTGGGATTGGCAGGGACATTGCTTGGGAATGTGTTGCTGTCGAAGAAGCAGAGACACAGAAACATTCTAAAGCTAGAGGAGGATTACACTATTTTGAAAGAATAGTCCTTGACTAGAAGGACTAATAAACGACAAGGCTGGCATCCATCCAAGGCTGGAGGACAGACAGTTGCTAGGCAGATGTCCATGCTGGAGCGATGTCCTTGTAGAAGTATTTTCCATGTAAGAGTGCAGTGGCCTTTGTCAAGGTTATAGGTCTGGCAGGGTTTTTGAGCGGAGTTCTGCTTTCTTTTCTTCAATCGGGCACGCATGCATATACTTATTTAAGCATGACAAGTGTACTCCATTTTGCTCCTCAAATTTTTCATAATATGAGAAAGATGACAAAATAGGAAAGTAGGGTTACCTGTCACTTATCCCTGCCCCCGATAAAGAGAGGACAACCATGATAAAGAGTAGCCAGCCCTAATCTATCCAACTGAAATTGGAATTGGAATTCCTTGGAATGGCCAAGGACGTGTACTGAAGTACTCCTCAGGGAGTGGCATGAACTCTATAGATTTTTAAGTCTAAAGCCAAGAGAGCGTTACAGAGGGAAAGTGAGGCTCATTGCCTCTCCAACTCTGTCTTAGTGTTATCTTTCTGCGATGAAACACCATAATGAGAAGCAACCCAGGGAGGAAAGAGTTTATTTTATGTTACACTTACAGTCCGACCTCCTGGGGAGCCAGGGCAAGAGCTCAGGTAGCAGGACCCAGTGCAGCGGCCATGGCAGAGTTCACGGGCTTGCTGCACCTGCCTAGGGGTGCACACCCACCCGGACGGCCTCTCCTCCATCAATTACTGTTTAAGGCAACGCAGCGTGAGCTTTCCCACAGGTCAGGCCCCAGCGAAGGTGTTTTCTCAACTGCGGTTCACTCTTCCAGAATTACTCTAGCTTGGGTCAAGTTGATAAAAAAAAAAAAAAAAAAAAAAAAAACTAGCCAGCACACATCCTGCCTCCCCGGGCAGCGGCTTCAGAGCCTAGATGGAATTCTCATGAGAGAAGGGAAGTTGATGTGAGTAGTATTGGTTCTGCAGATGACTGTCTGGGAGAGTCGGAAGGTCCTTACAGCCTCCAGCCTGGTAGGGAGAATTGCCCACCGTTCACAGAGCTGCACTCTCACAAAGTGTAGTTGTGACACAGTCACGAGGACCCAAGCTCCAGTTCTGAACTGGATCCTCCTGCTAGAGTGTTTTCTCTGATGCCCGTTGACCATACAGTGGCTCCCTTTCTGTGTCTCTACTACTGTCTACCATGTTCACCCAACTGGCTGCAGCACCATACCCCTGGCTGCTCAGAGCCAAGTCCCGGTAGACAGCTAGGCAGCAGCCTGATGTCCTCATTAGTCTGCCCCTCACGCAGCATATAGGACACACACATATGCCACACTGGTCTATAGACAACCAGGCACAGTTCTGCTTCCCAGCACCTGTGAGAACCATGCCCAATAACCAGATGGCAGCCCAACCTACCGAAAGGTCAGGCAGGCAGCTTTACCCACAGTGCCTGCATATGCCTGGGTAGTACCCGCCCTCAGCGAAACTGTCATACCAGTGTAGGCATAGACACCTACATCCTGGACCAATGATGTCATCACGGACATCTCTGACAAGGATGATAGATGGTGTACACAGTGGTCTGCTCCTGAGTCCATCTAGAATCCAGGGTAACAACGTCCAACAACAGGCATTAGGCCTCTCTGAAATGAATAAGTAACCTATAAAATTTGGAAATGTGAATATTGCATTAGCTGTAGAAATATCAACAAAGAAACCAACAAAACATGAAGAAAATAGGATGACAGTAACACCAGTTAGCAGACCCCAAAGAAAAGGAAATTTACAGCCTTGAAAACAAACTCAAAATAGTGGCCATAGCAGAATTAAGTGGGAACAAGAGAAGACAAAGAATTCAGAAAACACAGCCTTTCATGGCCTAGATGATAAAAATCAACAAAGAGATAGAAATCCTGAGACAAAACCCAAACAAAAATCTTACACCTCAAGTATTCAGTAAGTGGAATATAAAAAAACAAAGAAGAAAAAGAAATATAATTGAGAGCCACAAGACAAGACTACACTGGAGTCCCAGAATAAATTCCAGGAATTCAAGATGGGGATTCTGAATGAACCCAGTCAAGGCAAAACAACAAACAGAAAATAACCATAAGTTTTTAAAAAGTAAATTAAGCCAAGTGGTGGTGGCACATGCCTTTAATCCCAGCACTTGGGAAGCAAAGGCAGGTGGATTTCTGTGAGTTCAAGGCCAGCCTTGTCTACAAGAACTAGTTCCTGGGCAACTAGGACTGTTATACAGAGAAACCCTGTCATGAAAAAATAAAAATAAAAAACAAACCAAAAAAAGTAAATTAATAGGTTTTCTGCCTCCCCATAATAAGTTTCTAAGCCAATGATGCAGTAAGACAGATCAAGCCAAATTGAAGAAGTATATATAACAATAAGTTTATTGGAGCAACTCCCTATGGGTTCTCTGGTCCCAGAGATTGGGGCCAGAGGCATTGCTCCCCAAATGAAAGTAGGGAGATTTTATGAGTTGTTGGCAAGGATGATTACGGTCCACCACAAGCTGGGTTTGTGCCTGAGTAAGGTAAAAATTGAGCGTTTAAGAAGGGAATTGGGCGACTGGCAACTTCATGGGAAGCAGCTACTGCCAAGAATTGGGTTTGGGAACTGGGCCTTTTGTGCCTTCCCTTTGTCCAGAGACTCTGAGTGGGTAGGTTTTGGTGAAAGAGAGAAAGAGAGAGACAGACAGACAGACAGACAGACTAGAATGGGGCTTTCTGAATCATGCAGGGGAAAGCTGGAGGTTCCTAATAGTGGGGTCATTTTCTTCCAAACCACCACAAATATTTACTATTAAATATTTAAACATCATTAATTTTGGAAAATAATTTGAATGTTCCCAACACAAAGAAGCAATAAACATATGAGGCAATCATAACCTAGACTAGTCACTACACACACGTGTGTGTGTGTAATATGCATATACATCATAACCTAGACTGGTCACTACACACGTATGTATGTGATGTGTATGTAAACATAGCCTAGACTGGTCACTACACACACGTGTGTGTGTGTGATGTGTATATAAACATCACACAGAAAATTCCCTAAATATGTGCACATTTCTGGCTAAATTATTTTATATTTTAATAATTCTGGTTATTATAAACAGGGCTTTTACTTTTACATATATCTCAAGAGGGTCTGAGAGAAGGCTCATTTGGTGAAGTTCTTGATGCACAACCATGAGGAAGGATGTTCCGTTCTCAGAACCAACCGTAAAAACCAGAGTGCAGTGCTGTGCACTCGTAAACCTGCCCTGAGGAGGAAGAGACAAGCAGATCCCTGGGTCTGCTGGCCAGGCAGTGAGTTCCAGCACAGTGAGGCACTTTTTACTCAAAAGAGAAATGGATAGCACCTGATGACAGACACCTGAAGTTGACCTCAGGCCTGCACATGCACACATGTGCACGTGCACCTGCCCCCACATGAACATACATACAAGATGGAATAGAATTCTGATCAATACTGCACAAGTTATAAGAGACCTCAATAGGTTGCCTGCTACCTCAGAATGACAATTGCTTGATCTATGGCTCCATGTGCATTGCTTCTAAGTATCATTTAGGATGAAACCAAATGCACAAGGGGATGGTGCATACACTCTATGGACAGACTATAAAGATCAAATATGCATGTTCTTTATGGGTCTGTTCACTTTGTTCCTATAATGACAAGCCTATCTTTTCCTCTATCGTTCCCCCCCCCCCGCCACCATAGGATATCGAAGAGACCATGAACACTGCTTTGAATGAACTCCGTGAACTAGAAAGACAGAGCACGGTGAAGCATGCCCCCGATGTCGTGCTGGATACCTTGGAACAAGTGAAAAACTCGCCCACCCCTGCAACTTCCATGGAATCTCTAAGCCCCCTGCACAACGTCGCCCTCAGGAGCTCGGAGCCTCAGATTCGCCGGAGCACGAGCTCATCCAGTGATACAATGAGTACTTTCAAGCCGATGGTGGCGCCCAGGATGGGCGTGCAGCTGAAGCCCCCAGCCCTTAGGCCAAAGCCTGCTGTTCTTCCAAAAACAAACCCTACTGTAGGGCCTGCTGCACCTTCCCAGGGTCCCACAGACAAGTCTTGCACGATGTAGAAACCAAGGTCCCGAGGGGAGGGAGTCTGAAGTTGAAGATAGATTAGTGACAGTGGTCTGTGACGTTCCTCAGTCTTGCGCCTATAACTGGAGATCTGTTGACTTTTCTATGTCGTCGAATGTAATGATGTCGGGGGCTAGCTACATTAACATGGGCATTTGTATTTTGTAACCTTTTTTAATAACTGGACATATGTCATTTTAAAGACAATAGAAACTCTTAGACTTACTTGAAAATCCAATGCTGCAGCCCTTGTAACGAAGGCGACACCTTGCCCCCTGCGGTATATGACTTTGGATTAGCGTGGCCCGGGTGAGTGGCCTGTGAGAAAGAGAACCCGAGTTCCAGGTCTTACTGGAGTATCACCCGCCATGGTCTGTGACACATGCGGGAAGAGCCATTGGCTAGAAACCAACACCGAGCATCCAGAGTGGGGTCAGCAACTATTAAAAGTCAGAGAGGGGGCTTCAGTGAGACTTTCAGTCCATGGCTTGCAGGGGCTCCATGATGGCCCCTTCCATAAATGTCATTTCCCTGGATCTGGGTTAAGAACTCAATGGAAGAAGGTAGAAAAACCTCAGCTATTGCTTGACCTGAACCTGGAAAGGCAGAGGAGACAGTGTCTCCAGAGCTGTTGGCATTGCTCCCTCCGAGAACGCGATCTGGCCCTGGAGATGTCCAAGTTCACCACCTCCATTTGCAAAGGACTAGAGCAGTTGAATATCGAGGACTTTCTAACTCCAGCACAAACTCCTACGAAGTTGTTCAATAACTGCCTGAGAAATATTTCTCCCTTCCTTCAAACCCCATGCTCTCCTTTATGGCAATGGAAACAAACAGACAGGAAATTGATCCATGGATGTTGTGACCTAATTACCTTGCTTCCTTTAGTTCAAAAAGGCCCAGTGGTCCCAAATCCTGAACCCCCAGCTCTGTTGCCCACATCTCTTTGAGCCAAGCCAGATGTGGCTACGGTACTGAGTGAGAGCCCTGTCGAGCCGCCACGGGAAGATGACCCTGTGGTGCCGGGATGGCCTCTTCCCGGTTTTGTACCTCAGAATCATGATTTCTGTGCTTGTCCTGTTCATGTTTGGTTTGTTGTTTTGGATTTTGCCTGTGACCTCTATGGAACTCATCTAGTCAAATGGACTCAGTTAGGAACTTCTTTCCTGGCATTTTAGCGCATAGCCATTTTTCTTTATCATATATTTACTCTATTTTTCCTCTAGCTTAAAAAAAAATAGCAGACTGTGTGTTTGTTTAGTACTGGGATTGAACCGGAGGCCTCTTGCATGCTAAGCACACACTTTACCACTGAGTTATATCCACCCCCACGCCCGTATCGTTCTGAACACATTGTTTTTACTAAGGTACCGATGGTCCACCTAGCCACAGCCACTGATGTCTGCACGTCCTGATGAAGCAAGCAGGTGGCTCAGAACAAACCCCTTTGGACACACCATTAATCACCTTTTAGGTCTAATCTCAGACTGGCATGCCCACCTCAGAGTGGCACAGTGTTGGCAATAATTCACGCAGAAACCAAGTAAGATCTGTACTAAAATCAAAATCATGAGTGACTGCTACCTCAGTTTGCTGATCTAATCATCCCTTTGCAGGAAAACAATATGGATGAAATATTCCCTTTCCAAGTCGCTCTCCTCATTTCACAACCACCCCCAGGTACTTCCAGGAATGGTAAGGTTTTAAACCTCACAACTGCCAGCGGTGGTGGTGGTGCACACCTTTAAATCCAGTACTCGGAGGCAGAGACAGGCAGATCTCTGAGTTCAAAGCCAGCCTGGTCTACAGGATGAATTATTCCAGGACAGCCAGGACTACACAGAGAAAAATAATTCAAAATTTTCAGGACCATTCTTTTTGGCCATTTTGTAAAAGAAACCGTAGAGACCCAGCCAGGATTGAGGTTTGCTGGACACTGAGCCTTTTAAACATCCCACCTCTGGTTTCCTTGGGAGTTCATCGTCTCCTCAATGAACCCATTTACTAGAAATCAATATCAATTCTTAAAACCATGTTTCTTCTTTGATGGAGGATGCTCGCAGAAGTCATAAGAAACTAGCAGCTTTAGGATTTATTTGTAAATACCTTTCTTAAACTTGAAGTTTAGTTTTCCCCATCGTCCTCCTCCAAACAGCTCTCTGGCAATCCTCCCCACCCACCTCACCCCTGCTGCAACCCCACTGCTGCCTTCTGTGTGTCCATCTATGCCTTTCTGTCCCCCTAGGTCAGGCCTTTGCCGCCTTGAAAGAGAAGGGACATGCTTTTGTAAGTCCCTTGGGATCTCAGGCCTGGGCCTCCGGGGAATGGCTCCTAGTTCCCACCCATCCTTCACTTACCTTTTCCTCCCTCTTCTCTCCTGTAGTCCTGTTGACGGTTCCAGACGTCTCCAGAGAAGCAGTCACTTTTCCTTCCTTTGCCTAGTAATGGACCAACAGTTTTACACCTTCACATTTGGCGTGGGCCCCCTTGGAGCCATGCACAGAATAGTTTAAGATAAGATGTCCCCTGCACGGAGGACCCTAAAAGCTGCAGCAACTGAGACGGGTCACCCCGGCAGGGTTCAAGCCACAGAAGGAACTCACAGAGGAAAGGGACAAGGAAAGGAAGGAAATGCATGAACCCTGAGGTCCTCCGTCCTCTCCCAGATCTCAGTGTCTGTATATAGTTCATGGAGGGGGTCGTTTGATGAGCAGATTGTAGTCCACAACACTATCTGACTCCACGTACACAAAATAGCCATAGTTGTTAGGACTGTGTGCTTTGTCCCGTCCATAGAACCCTGGTGCCGATTTGCAGAGCCCTTTGGTGTGAGTTGGGGTTTGAGGGATGGATTGTTAGGAACCGAGTGCACATCTTTTAAAGAGCATCACAATAAAATGTCAAACTGTTGAGGACACTCTGGAGCTCAAGTTATTGCTGCAGGTCAACATTGTTCACCCGTCTTACTTGTGTTCACAAAACCTAAGCTAACTGTGGTGCCCCAGAGCCATCCACAGAATAATTCATAGTGAGGTCCCACTTATTCTGCTACCATAGTCATGAGTGGATAAAGAACTCCCAAGGGTCAGATGGTCTCTTTGAGTTTTCTGTATACGTTTGCCATTCCCAAAGAGGCTTTTTAATTTGATTAAGAAGGGAAAAAGAGAGTTGGGTTGGTGGTGGTGGTCTCAGCATTTAGGAACGGCTCAGCCTCTGATGTCTACAAACTGAAGGAACCATGTTCTGACATCTGAAATCCAACAGTAAAGAGACTGCCTGTCCATTGAGAGCTCAGATTTGGGTTGATCCTTATTCCTGACCACAGCAGCAAAGACCATAAATGCAGCAAATGCATTTGGGATGCCATCTCCACTGTTTGCCACTGAGACCCCGGGACACAGAGAGCCCAGAGCTGAGAGCTCTCCCCATGTACAAATAGAACCCTCCTATTTCAGGCCTCCCCCCGCCCCTCCCGAGCTGAAAGCCCCCCTCAAGCTCCAGCTGGCCTGGAGTACCAGGCTTGCATCAGGATGACTTCGGCACAGATAGTAAAGCCAGAGGCGAAGCCTAGCTTTCACTCATCCTAGTATACTTTATTTAAAAAAGAAAATGTCTCGGTATAATCAAAATGGGTACCTGTATCTTTAAATTATATAGGGGATTTTGTATGTTTAAATAATTGTACTGGGTTCCATAATGCTTACCTTAGAAACTAGTAAAAGAAAACTCTATAAACTGCGCATCTGTGAATGCCCCTTCTGAGCGCGCTCATCTAAGTTCGTGTGTAGTGTGATGGTTGCTGTAGATATTTAAACGTGTAGTAGATGGCCCTGGTAACAGGAGACTGCTCTTCCCCTGCGTTCTTGCTGGTGACTTCTGCCCACGTAATTGAAATCAGTATTGTCCTTTCCTGTCGGTTTGGTCAGTTGCAGTACTGGTTGCTCCCTGCTTGTGACCGTGACCTACCCGTGTCAATGTACATCCGCAGTATGTACATGTGAAAGTGCCTTCCTATCTTAGAGGAGCTTAGCCTTGCTCTTGTACTGTCGCCCACTGTGTCCCGCCCGCCCCCCCCCCCCCCCCCCGCCCCCCCCCGCCCCCGCCCGCCGGAGTGTTCTCAGGCTCCTTCCACTTGCTCCCGCCCCTCTGCCAGCCCCACTTCCGTTTCTTCCTGCACCTCAGTGCTCAGTCCTGTGCGTCTTGCATCCGTGTGGATTATCAGACTGTCTCGTTACCCTCATAGACGTGACCGTGCCTTTCTCGCCCCTCAGTGACTCCCTGCCACCCGTCCCATGTGTCCCACTGTGTCCCACTCACACTGCTACCTGCCATCCCGTCCCTAGCTCTATACTGACTCTCCAGTGCATCCCCTCCTCTCAGGTGAAGAGAAGAGGGTGTTTTTACAGTCCTGGAAGAAAAGAAAATGTTTTGTTAATCTGTCGTGACAACGCACTTTTCTGTATAGTACTGTACTTTTTGGCATGTACCATTACAGGCTTCAGTATACAGTCGGGTTTGTTCTTTGAGGTGTAGCTTTATAATAAATATGATAGTTCTGGCCACCTTTGTCTGCTTGTGATTTGCTGTGACTCTGAAGTGTCTGTGTGATGATACAGTGGCCCAGAGAGGGACCTTGGCGGGCCAAGGGGCCACATGGTTGGATAGAAGAGAGAGGGGAGAAGGGGAGAAGGACAGAAAGAGGAAGAAGAGAGAGAAGTAGGCAGATTTCTGCCTTTTAAAGGTGCAGGGTACTGTCTGCCCTGCTCCGGGGTGATGCACTCTGTGGGGTCCAGGGTACTGCTTGTCCTGCACGGGGTGATGCACTCTGTGGGGTCCTCAAGGCATAGGGACAGGGGTATCTGGGTGCTTACAGTAAGTTCCTTTCTTTTTCACTCTCTTCCCCAGAGATGTATTTAATGGGTTGCATTGAAAATGGGAAACTTCAGCCTTTTTCTGTTTTGTTTGAAATAGGTTCACACATGCAGCCCTGGCTGTTCCAGGAACTTACTGTGTAGACCAGGCTGGCTTCAACTCCCAGAGATTTATCTCCCTCTGCCAAGATTAAAGGCAAGCACCATCCACGCCTGGCTCTCTTAAAAGGTTTTTGCTTCATTTTCGTTTTTGGTCATGCATTTGAAAGCGAGGCCTCCTATACACAGCCTCATCAAAAAGCTGTGGTTTTTCAAAGTCAATGGCTTGGGGACACCTATGTAGGGGAAAAACGGGCATTGCATCCAGTCCATGCAAATTCCTTCCCACTATCAATCCTGTCAAGCTGATATTCATTTCATTTTAATATACCAAAGTAGAATTTTCATTACTGACTGTTTAGATTTGCCCATGTACCAACACTAACTCTTCAGTTCAAACTGAACCAGTCATATATCAGATTTAAAACTGTTAAATCTGCTTTTAAAATAATACCAGCTAGGTGGTGGTGGTGCACGCCTTTAATCCCAGCACTCAGGAGGCAGAGGCAGGCGGATCTCTGTGAGTTCAAACCCAGCCTGGTCTACAGAGGGAGTTCCAGGATGGCCAGCCAGAGCTACACAGAGAAACCCTGTCTCGTAAAACGAACAGACATAATTAATAGTAATTTTTGATTGAAGTATAAAATATGTACAGAAAAAAGTATTAAATAAATACAGAAAAAAAGGTACCAATCATTAGTGTAATGGTTTTTACAAAGAAACACTATGGCTGAGGGGGTATGTAGTTTGGTGGTAAAGCATGCACTTAGCGTGCAAAAGCATTCAAACCCAACCACCAAAAAAGCGAAAGTGTCTACCACCCAGACCAAGAAATAGCACCCTCACCAGTTAGCCTGTGTGCTGAGGAATCACACCATAGCTGACTCAGCCAGTGTGACTGCCTACCTGTGGGCTCATGCGGTTCTTGTATTGGTTCTTTTTGTTGAATCTTAGGCTGGGAGCTGGAGAATCAGCTCCATGGAGGATCTACCAACAAGTACAAGCCTGTGTCCAGTTTCCATGTTGGAAAAAACATCCAAGAGCTAAGCTAGAAATTCTTCCATTTTTATTGTTACACAGAATTCTATCACAGGCAGGATTCCTGATTAAACTTTGGATTCATATGCAAAGGTCACTAAACCTAGAGAGATTTATGAAAAATAGACAACCCCACCAGTAAGAATTGCTTCCCAGACCCTGATGGAAGGATGTTTAAACTTGTTAGATGGCCCATGCAAAGTTGAGTTTCTTCTCATCTAAAAGCAAGAATTCATCCTAGAAGTCATTGAAACTAGCATGGGATTCACCTGGTGCTACTGCTTTTCTTCAGTACCAACTTTCGTCTCAGAAAGTAAGACTCACAGGCTACTCACCAGAAATTAATGTCCAAACAAGGCTGGAAGATTGTTCCAGAAAGTTCGGCATCATTGCCTCAGGTTGCCCCAACTGGCTACACTTACCCATTTCTGCCTCCCTCACTCTGGCATTTGTACCCTCCTCACCCACAGTGTGCCTGAACCCACCAAGATTATACTTAAAGTAGTTAGGATCCCTAAGAAGAAAATTTCCCCAGGTTTTATTTGGGAGTGTTAAAAATCCCCCCAAAAGCCTGAGACTATTTGGCCAATTCTATTCCAAGGGTCGTCTGTCTTCGTTTGTTCGTTTGGTTTTAGGTTTTGTTATGTTGGCTTTTTAAGACAGGGTCTTGCTATGTAGCATGAGCTGGCCTTAAGCTTGCAATCCTGCCTCAGCCTTCCACCTACTGGGGCTAAAGATGTGGCCCACCACACCTGGCTCTTCGATCCCTTCTTGGATTTCAGAGGAAAACTTTGGGAACTAAGCACCATGACGTTCAGTTCCTCTGTAGTCTATCTTTAAATAGCAGACATAAAGTCTGTTTTTTTTTCATTCCTTGCATTTTATTTTTTTTTTATTTATTAAAGATTTCCACCTCCTCCCATTTCCCTTCCACTCCCCCCACTTTCCCTCCCCTACCCTCTCCAGTCCTAAGAGCAGTCAGGGTGCCCTGCCCTGTGGGAAGTCCAAGGCCCTCCCCCCTCCGTCCAGGTTTAGGAAGGTGTGCATCCAAACAGACTAGGCTCCCAAAAAGCCAGTCCATGCAGTAGAATCAAAACCCAGTGTCATTATCATTGGCTTCTCTGTCAGCCCCCATTGTCAGCCACATTCAGAGAGTCTGGTCTGATCACATGCTCTGTCAGTCCCAGTTTAGCTGGCCTTGGTGAGTTCCCATTAGATCAGTCACACCGTCTCAGTGAGTGGACGCACCCCTTGTGGTCCTGACTTCCTTGCTTGCGTTCTCCCTCCTTCTGCTCTTCATCTGGACCTTGGGAGCTCAGTCCAGTGCTCCAGTGTGGATCTCTGTCTCTATCTCCATCCATCGCCGGATGAAGGTTCTATGGTGATATTCAAGATAGTCATCAGTGTGGCTATGGGAGAAGGCCAGCTCAGTCACCCTCTCCTCTACTGCCCAAGGACCTAGCTGGGGACATCCCCTTGGACACCTGGGAACCCCTCTAGAGCCAAGTCTCTTGCCAACCCTAAAATGGCTCCCTTAATTAAGATATCTTCTTCCCTGATCCCATATCCACCCTTCCTCCATCTCAACCATCCTACTCCCCCAAGCTCTCCCCAATCTTCCCCTTCTCCCTTCTCTTTCCCCCTCTCCCCTTTCCCCCATCCCACTCCATGCTCCCAACTTTTGACTGGCTATCTTGTCTACTTCCAATTTCCAGGAGGATAAATATATGTTTTTCTTTGGGTTCACCTTATTATTTAGCTTCTCTAGGATCACAAACTATAGGCTCAATGTCCTTTGTTTATGGCTAGAATCCACTAATGAGTAAGTACATACCATATTCCTCTTTTTGGGTCTGGGTTATCTCACTCAGCAAAGTGAAAATAGATCCATTTTTATCACCATGCAAAATTCAAGTCCAAATGGACTAAAAACCTCAATATAAATCTGACCACACTGAACCTGATAGAAGAGAAAGTGGGAAGTAGTCTGCAACACATGGGCACAGGAGACCACTTCCTATGTATAACCCCAGTAGCACAGACAATCAGAGCAACAATGAATAAATGGGACCTCCTGAAACTGAGAAGCTTCTGTAAAGCAAAGGACACTGTCATTAAGACAAAAAGACAACCTACTGAATGGGAGAAGAACTTTACCAACCCTGCATCAGACAAAGGCCTGATATCCAAAATATATAAAGAACTCAAGAAACTAGACATTAAAATTCTGAATAACCCAATTAAAAAATGGGGTACTGAACTAAACAGAGAATTCTCAACAGAAGAAGTTCAAATGGCCAAAAGATACTTAAGGTCATGTTCAACTTCCTTAGCGATCAAGGGAAATGCAAATCAAAACAACTTTGAGATACCATCTTACACCTGTCAGAATGGCTAAAATCAAAAGCACCAATGATAATCTATGCTGGAGAGGATGTGGAGTAAGGGGAACACTCATCCATTGCTGGTGGGAATGCAAACTTGTGCAACCACTTTGGAAATCAGTGTGGCGGTTTCTCAGGAAACTGGGAGTCAACCTACCTCAGGATCCAGCAATTACACTCTTGGGAATGAATATTTACCCAAGAGATGCCCAATCATACTACAAAGGCATTTGTTCAACTATGTTCATAGCTGCACTATTTGTAATAGCCAGAACCTGGAAACAACCTAGGTGCCCCTCAATGGAAGAATGAATAAAGAAGGTGTGGTACATATACACTTTAG